TAACGACAGGGCCCCTTGGGCCTTAAATATACAAATTATTATTATTATTTCCCTCACGTCCGAAGACGACTTGGTGTGCCAGCGTGGAAAAAATACAATAAAGTTTGCTCCTGTTTCCCAAAGAATCTTTTCTATCAAAGTCTTCTCTCTCTCCCCCGGACACAATTGCTCTAACTTCATGCCCGCTTGCGTCCGCCGAGTTCCAAAGGCGAGACTAAGCAAAAACGATAGGAGCTAGGTTTGGGGAGGCGTCTGATCTGACATAAATCCTTCGCCATCAGGGCAGCATGACTTAAGATATGTTTAATATTAACCACGACCCAGGAAAGTTTTTTAATACGAGCATACCAATATGCGCTGACACGAAAAAAGTATTTACGAGTAGCTTTTACGGAAGATGCTAGCATGCCAGTCTGCAGTATGGTATTATTAGTAATGGATCAGAACAGCTTCGCGGAACAAAATTAAGATGAATAAGAAAAGCAGATAGGCGAAGTGGACAACAACTAGACCTTTAAAGAGGTACGGACGAATTCTTTAGAAAAGGGATGGCAAAAGATCACTGATGTTGGATTTATTTAATTCTAACAGTTGAAAAAAAATCCGGACACTCACCAAAGCGACACTCGGGAAAGTCCGATTCGGATGATAGATCACTCGATGATAGAGTCAGGAAAACATTCTAGCAATATAAACAAAGACAGAGAAGCTCACGTCACACTGTCGTTCAAATTCCTTCCAAAGTAAGGCATCCTTTTCTTGAACCATATCACATGGAAAAATTGCGGATTTTCTGAAACGGAAAATGGGTTAAATTGCTAGTGTTGTGATGTTTTATATACTTCAGAGGGCCGGAGCAAACAAATAAAACCACAAAAAAACGCATGGGGGAGTAAACACAGAAACTGACAGAAATGTAGGACAACTTTCTACTTTGCTGAAATTCTAATCCTAACTTAGAAGTTAAATCAATAATTTTTCTAAAAGGGAGAGTCGGATACTAAATATACAGCCAGCAGTTATGAGGGCTGTTCTATGTGAATGGATGATGAGCGGAAATTTAAAGTCTTCGACAACTTTTGTTTGAGAACAATAAGTCGAATGAAAAACACCAAAGTAATCTCAAATTATACGGTGCACGCATGCAGAACAGCATCGACAGAATGCCCCAGACCACCTCACAAATAACGTGATTGTAGCAAGTTAGTTGTCATGCACCTCATGAATACAGCACTGACACCATAAAATCAGCATGTCCCCCTCTCGGTGGTAGTGAAACTCAGGGACAAGGAGTTACGGCTGGCTAAACGTAAATTCTGTGTTTACGCGTGCCACAACGGATCCGGTTCAGCTCTACTGACTGGAGCAGATTTCAAATACGCAGTCTTACAATGGAGGGGAAAATCCTGCCACCCAACCCCATCTGGTTTAGTTCGCTGAAAGAAGCGGCAAGTAGGGTATGGCCGCTGTGTAGAGCATAATTTCGCTAGGCAGCAAATAAGAGCTAAGATTTCAGTGAGAGGCCGAGCAGAACCATGGAGGGTGACTTCTCAATCCTACAAGCTATAGCCCTTGCCTGAAGTCCTAATGCATGCCGAATTGTCACAGTAATCACCGTCAAACCAGATGCTGCTGTGTAAGAATCTTCTAGAAAAAAGAGCGCAAATACTGCCTGTTGAAGGTGTAAACAGTGAATGAATATAAATGCATTCAGAATATGTTTTCGGCAATTGTGTATTAGTGCTACTTCATCTGATGAAAGCGACAACTTTGGACAACCAACCAGTTAGCAGCAGCAACAGCAAGAGCAGAAAGATCGAGTTTGGCATATCGAACCATGTAGCGGTAGTGTTTTCAGCCTTCTGTGGCTTCACTGGCTCAGTTAACTGAAACGACAATCCGACTGATAATGAGGCCTAGTCGGTCATCAGGCAAAGTACTGCACACTATCTACCAGATTTGACGTAGTCCTATCAACTGAAAATTGTGTCAGGAAACAATGGGAACGCGCTAAGGCAGTAGATGAGATGAACACTAAGTTTTTGGTGGCGGAGTACTACGCAACAACTGGATAAAAGTCAACCTTTTGGGGAGCCGGAAACATTAGATAACGAACGACTTCCCTGTTGGAGAGGCAAGAAGGGTCTGTTAAGGTGTTGCATACATAAGCCTTGACCCTGGGACGGAAATTAGTATCAGTGCAAACGTACACGAAAGTTGAGTCACGGAGGCAGCAGTAGTGGCAACAACGCCCACCCCCGCAGCAACATACGGATGACCTTTGATTAGCAATCAGTCGGCGCGTTCGATAGCACTACCCTTTCCTTATAGAGGTTTCTTGCTTTCGACCGTCGGAAGAATAAACTCCTGGTGGTCCATATTTATCTTTTCATATCTACGCCAGGATTCCCTTTATTATAGTCCCAAGACTATAACAAAAAAGTGCAACTCAAACTATTGTCTATGATAACCGATTGACCGAGGTGTATGCTATTTCAAAATTGAATAATGCGGCATAAATGAACGGTCGCGTCACCTACTACATAGTGCGCAACCAAAAAATGCAGGCATTCTAAGTACGCTATTGAAATAACTCGTCTGTCGAAAGTTCGGTTACTCGGCTTTTGTATTTGACATCGCGTAGCATGCCTCCTAAAGCGTATGCAAGAGAACTTCGACGAGGATGTCTCTTCTTTTGGATTACACGAGAAAACGAAGGAACACCCTTCTCTCCACACTATCCGGGGCCTAAAATGTGTATTTATTGCATTATTCCCGACTATTACTATACT